AAATAGAAAGAAAAAACTTTCTAAACCAATCCTTCCACAATCCTAGGAATATATACAATTCTATTTTCATATCTGAACCAGTAACCCCACGTTTTCCAACAGTTCTTAGATATTAGTTCAGACATGAAACATTGGAAATAGCAGGATGCCATTTAGATTGTATTCCAAACGCAATATGGTGATGGTTTCATTGTTTCAAGTTTCTTTTTCAAAATTTCAGTATTTGAAGTAAAATGTGACATTTTTCTAGATGAAAAAATGGAAATGTAATTAACCTGAAAAGAATCTATTATGAGTTTCAAAGAAAAAAAAGGAATCTATCATAAAATACTAACATTTTGCAGGCCAAATGCCAAACATATATTTCAGAAAAAGGACAAATTTATAACTCAAATAGGAAAAATAAAGTTACTTACACAACTAGGCAATGTGACACGAAACCAATATAGCAGATATGATACCAATTTGTCATAACAGTCACTGCAGTCATGGACAACAAACAACCACAAATTAGAAATAAATTAACCTTGAAAATATAATAATCAATTTCATTTACTTTTCCATCCCGAGAAAAAAAATGTAGAGAACATTAATGTGGTCCCCACTATGTTATTTATGTGGTCCTCACTGTTGTTTGTTTATTTATGATTAGTGGTAGTTATTCCAGTTGGTAGTAATTTCTTTTATTTCTTTGCCTATGTAAGTAGTAGGGGTAATTCAGCCTTTTCCCCTTATTTTGATTATTGATATAAATAGCTGAGTGGGGCGACAATTCTAGTCAACCCACACTCTTTTGAATTCTCCTCTTTGTCTTCTCCTTCCCTCTTTCTCAATTCTGCTTTTTCTTTGTTTATTGCACATTATATCTACGACTGATTGCAGTCCTACTAGTCTACTTGGTATCAGAGCCAACCTAGGACTACTCATGTTAGTCTAATCAAACTGACTACATGAGAACTTCCTAGGGTTGGAAGTTCCAACAGAGATAAGTCCATCGGCTGATTCTTGGAGGTTGCTGGCAGTGTGCAATTGATGCCCAAGGGATCATAGAGCCTTGGAGAGTGTTCAGCGATCAGGAAGAATCATAAGAAAGGAAGAAATCTCAAGATTAGGATCCAGACCTTGGTTTGAAGGTGGCAGCCAGAATTTTCTGAGTAAGTTGGTGTTTGTTCTTGAGATCTATCCTAAAAAGAAACTTTTTTGATTAATAATCTGGGAGGTGCGGCTGAAAGTTTTCTAGTTTTCTCCTGAGTTTTAGGGTTCCTTTCTTGACCTAAGATCAGTTCTAGGATTAAAACCCTAAAGTTTGACTGTTGCCAATTCTGGGGCAATAGACAGAACTGTTTCAGCATTCAAGACTGAGTGATTTTGCTTTCTGAAAAACTAACAGACCTGCTCCAATATTTCTGGGTGGTTTTCGAACCTATTTCACCCTTCTAGGTCAGCTGTTAGCAATTTCTGGGTGCAATTACACCTATTTCAGTACTAAAAAGGTTGTTTTTGACCCAATACCTTGAGAGGGGCTGACAAGAATGGAGTTTAAGAATCAAGGGGAAGGTGTTTTGGGGGCTGGTGGTTCTGGTAGAATGTCTGAGAACACTTTTCAGATTACCACTATCAAGTTTGATGGATCAAATTACTTGGAATGGGCCCAATCAGCCATGATGGCCTTTGGGGGTAGAGGGAAACTGAATTATTTGTTGGGGGATGTGAAGGAACCATCTAAAGAGGACCTAACCTATGCCAAATGGGTTCAGGAGAACTATTTGGTTATGACATGGCTGTGCAACTCCATGCAGCCTCACATTAGCCGAAACTACTTGTGGGCAAAAACAGCTAAGAAAATTTAGGACATCATGAAAGGAACCTACTCCCAACCTCTTAATGTTGCTAGGGCCTATGAGTTGAAATGTGAAGTTAATAACCTTAAGCAAGAATAGAAACCAATCTCTTGTTCAATAACACTTTTTTTTTATCGATGTGTTTTTCAGGATTTGGAGACAAGGTGATTGGGATTGGCTATGAGACGAATGGAATCTACCTGCTTGGAGGGAGCTCATGTGGGGAAGATAGTGAAGTTAGGAGGTCTTTTGTTTCTCAATCTGTTGGTCAGGTTATGCTTTGGCATAACCAGTTAGGTCATTTATCTTTTAGGTCTTTGAAAAGTTTGTTTCCTAGTTTGTTTGAGTCTGTCCAGATGTCCAATTTGAAATGTGAAAGCTATGATCTTGCAAAGCATTGTAGAACAACATATTCCTTGAGTAATAAAAGTAGTATTCATTTTGAAATTGTGCATACCGATGTTTGGGGACCTTATCATATCACTGCTAGGGGGGGGGGTATAGATATTTCTTGTTGTTTGTTGATAACTATACTCGCTTTTCTTGGGTTTACCTTATGCGTTCTCGAGACGAGATTCCTACCTTAACCCGGATATTTCATTAGATGGTTTTAACCTAGTCTGGCGTCAAAATCAAAATTTTCAGATCCGATAATGCGAAAGAGTATTTTGCAAAACCATTAGCCTCATATTTCCTTGACCATGGATTATCCATTAGAGTACCTATCCTCATACACATCAGCAAAATGGGGTTGTTGAGAGGAAAAATAGACACATATTGAAGGTRGTTAGAAGCATTATGTTTAACTCCAATGTGCCTATACAGCTGCATATCTCATCAACCGAGTTCCTTCACGGGTTCTAGACATGAAAGCTCCATTCACCCTTTTATATCCTGATAAGGAATTGTTCACCATTCCCCTTAAGACCTTTGGATGTACTTGCTTTATTCAGACCCTTGGACCTCATCGTTCCAAATTTGATCCTAAAGCTTCAAAATGCATTTTCCTTGGCTATGCACAAACTCAAAGGGATAACTGCTGCTATGAACCTACTTCTGGGAGGTTTGTTTCTATGAATATCACTTTCTTTGAGGATGTACCCTATCATCCTAGGGTTTCTTCTCAGGGGGAGAGTAGTGAGGTGGGGGTTCATTCATCAAAAATTCCTTTACCAGTCCCAATCATTGAAGGGGAGTGTAGTGAGGAGGGATGTCAGAGGTGTTGGGATTTGAGAGTTTATCACAAACAGTGGAGGCAGGTTGATTTCGGTCATCAACAATCTAGGCCAGCCCCAATTCCTTCTGCGGATCTAGATCCAGGTACCACAGTTCCTTTATCTTCCATTATAGATGAGATAACTTCCATTGTTGAGCCTTCACCTCCAATGGGTGACCTTAACCTTTTCATTGCAATCCATAAAGGGAAACACCGTTGTACCTCATCTACAACTCACCATATTTCCCAGTTCTTGTCTTATGATCATTTGTCTCCATCTTACAAGTCCTTTTTGGCATCCATTGCTGCTATTCCTATTCCCAGAACAATGCAGGAAGCCTTGTCTTATCACAAACACCGTTGTACCTCAGTACCTGAGTGGAAGGATGCAATGAAGGTAGAAATGGAATCCCTTCTGAAGAACAATACATGGGAGTTAGTTGATCAACCTAAAGGGAAGAAACCGGTTGGATGTAGATGGGTGTTTACTATGAAGCATAATGTTGATGGTTCCATTGAAAGGTATAAGGCTAGATTAGTTGCAAAGGGGTTTACTCAAAAATATGGCCTAGACTACTTGGAGACTTTTGCACCAGTAGCAAAGATGAACACTACCAGAGTTTTATTATCTCTTGCAGCCAATTACTTATGGTCTTTGTTTCAAATGAATGTTAAAATGCCTTCCTCAATGATGACTTGCAAGAAGAAGTGCACATGCAGTTGCCTCCTGGATTTTATAGTGTAGAAACAGGAAAGAAGGTTTGTCGGCTGAATAAAGCCTTATATGGACTAAAACAGTCTCCCAAAGCCTGGTTTGATAGATTTAGAYAAGCTCTTGAAAAATTTAGCTATGTGCAGGCCCAATCAGATCACACTCTTTTTATTAAGAAAGTGAATTCTTCCTTAATACTGCTTGCTGTATATGTGGATGATATTGTGATGATAGGGAGTGATACTCGTGAGATTGACTCTCTTAAGCAACTCCTTTACCAAGAATTTAAAGCCAAAGACCTGAGAGAGCTACGGTATTTCTTGGGTATTGAGGTAGCTCAGTCAAAGCATGGGATTTTTGTTTACCAAAGAAAGTATGTTCTTGATCTGTTGGAAGAAACAGGGAAACTGGGTGTTAAACCTGCTGACACACCTATTGAACAAAATCACAAGGTGGAGAGCCCCTTGAAGATAAAGTTATGTTCCAACGGTTAGTTGGAAAACTTCTCTATTTTCGTCTCACACGACTAGATATCAGTTATGCAGTCAGTGTTGTTAGCCAATATATGCATTCTCCTAGAAGTACTCACCTACTTGCAGTTGAGAGGATACTAGCGTATTTAAAGAGATGTCTAGGCAGAGGTATACTATTCAAAAATAATGGTCACATGAAAATAGAAGTTTACACAAATGCTGATTGGGCTGGATGTGTTGATGATAGGAGATTTACCTCTAGGTATTATGCTTTTGGAAGTAATCTTGTTACTTGGAGGAGTAAGAAACAAAATGTTGTTGTTCGCTCTAATATTGAAGCTGAATATAGGTCCATGGCAAATGGTGTGGCTGAAGTACTATGGTTGAAATCCCTACTTGAAAAGTTGGGTATTACTTATGAGAAGCCCCTAATGCTATACTATGATAATCAGGTTTCTATTAACATAGCTTGTAATCCGGTACAACATGACAGAACTAAGCATATTGAAGTGGACTGACACTTTATCAGAGAAAGAGTTGCTTCACAAGAAGTGTTTCTTCCATATATCACCTCCAATATGCAACTTGCAGATCTCTTCACTATGGCAGTTTCAAAAACAAATTTAGAAGCAGATCTATGCAAGTTGGGAATGACAAACATCTATTCCCAACTTGAGGGGGAGTGTAGAGAACATTAATGTGGTCCTCACTGTTGTTTGTTTATTTATGATTAGTGGTAGTTATTTCAGTTGGTAGTTATTTCTTTTATTTCTTTACCTATGTAAGCAGTAGGGGTAATTCAGCCTTTTCCCCTCATTTTAATTATTAATATAAATAGCTGAGTGGGGCGACAATTCTAGTCAACCCACACTCTTTTGAATTCTCCTCTTCGTCTTCTCCTTCTCTTCTTCTCTCTTTCTCAATAGTGTTTTTCTTTGTTTATTGTGCATTATATCTAGGAATGATTGCAGTCCTACTAGTCTACTAAAAACATCAACTTCAACCTCAATCCCTAACAGACAATTAGAAATATTGCTATTGATCAGGGAGCCTTTTCCTCAAATATTAATACAAAAGCCATAAAGGAAACATGTACACCAAGTGAGCAGTTATATTACGATCAATAACATCAAATTTCTTTTATGCTAAAAGAACACAAGGTTTTTGAGCTACTTGAAAGGAATTCTGGGGAAGGGATTTTGCATGCCAACCCTAGACATTTGGAGGCATTTATTGATGTGGATTGGGAAGGTCCTGTCGATGACATGAAATCTCCATTAGTTAGAGAAAGACTTCACCAAACAGAAGTACTAAAATACAAGGTGAAACTTACTTGCAAAGGTGTGTGGCATCAGTTATCATCTCAGCATGATTCAGTGGCATCCTTGTTCTGTCTATAAAGCCAAAAGGAAAAAAAAAAAAACGTTAAAACTGAAGAACAAATATTTAATGCCAATTACCTATAACAATAGTTGAATAATTGCCTTCAACTGATGCATACATAGTGTTGACAGTTCTTGTTTTTTATTGTATAATGTTGGGCCTGGGCTGTGGCCCATTACAGCTGCTATATTAGGGGCATTATGGTCCTTGTAAACAGCTTCATTCTTTTAATATAAATACTAATGAATGGGGTGGCCAGAACACTTTTTGGTACCCCTTCTCCTATCTTCTCTCTTCTTCTTCCTCCTTCAAGAACTTTCTACTACTTTCTTCACTTCTCTTATTTTTCTTTGTTTCTATTTTCTACTTGGCATCAGAGCCTCTTTTAGGGCATCCTAAAGAGAGATTCCATGCAAGTTTGCAATCGGCCAACTAGAAAATAGACCAAAATCAATCTTGGATTTTTTGGAGGGTAGCTATCCAGTGCCAGTTGTTGGATAATAGACCAAAATCAAGAAGAATTTTTTTCTGACCAATAACTGGAAAATTCAATAAAATTATAAAAAAGATACAATAAGGTACATGGAGAGAAGTATGCACTCTTAACTCTCCCACACRTTGGAGTCAATTACAACAAAGCCCAATTACAACAAAGCCCACCCGTTGTTTTGCAAGTGAATCTACAAAAGAATCTGCAAAGGAATTGGCATTAGAGCCTCTTTACCCATTGTAGCCTTATTTCCAGGTCCTCAATCAGCCATTTGTACATCCGGTTAGACAGTGTATCCCCTTAGCTCCAATCGAAATGATGTACCTTATGACATTTAACGTAAATGAATAAAGTACATATTTGATTCATGTTATTATGGTGTGTTTCTGTGTAATACCCTTAAACTGGACACATATGAGACTCGTGTTAGTTTAGAATGTTCACAGTCGTTGGATAGATCTGGGAGATTTATCTTGATAAGGCTGACACTGATGTACCGCCAAGTTGGTTGGGGTAGCCTGTCTCAGCTACCAGGGTGAGACTCGAGGTACATGCAGTGAATGTTTACTTGAAACCCTAAACCGGAACAGAATTCCAGTATTGCCCTGGACCTTGGTGATTAGTGGGCAAAACTAGAATGTTACACCCTCCATTGAATTCTTGCTGAAGGATTCGGTTCTTGTGAAGAACCTGCTGATTCTGCTCCACCCTACACTGTGTCATCTTCAGTGGGAGCAGTCTTTAGAGTTTTCCTTGGGTGTGAACACCTTCATGATATTGTTTCTTCGTATCAGGTACCTCCCTCTCCTACCTTTTGGTTAAAGATCTGGTCCAGTTTTTGGTTCAAAATTGATCCTTGAAAATGCAGATTTTCTAAAACAGGGAATGTGATTCCCACATGGGAGAGAAATTTTTGAAATTTCGCCCTATCTACCTGCAGGGTTCGGCTATCCATACAATGGATCTCTCATCCCTTCAGTGGTATCAGAGCCATGGTTCAAATCTTGAACAAAAATAAATCAAATTTGAACCTGCGCAAATGGGCAGAAGACGTTCTACCCGATTTGCGCAGATTGTGGTTTTTCTGAGAAATTGTTTCCCAGATCAAGGGCGAATGATCTGAAATTAATTCTTTATAAATCTGAAATTTATTTAGAATTGTTCTTTATAATTTCTTGATTTGTGGGTTGTTCGTACAAAGCAGATCGAATTCTTTATTGGCGCAGGATATCTGTTGTTTGCAGTTCTATTAATTTTGGTCTATAATTAATATTTTTTAAATTTTAGACTGAATGTATAGGAATTCGATCTGATGTAATATTAATAGAAAAATTAGGGTTTTCTATTTATTTTATTTCATGATCGAAGATGGCTGGGCAAGAGAAGGAGAATTCGCAGATAAGGAAATCGCTATCTGCGATTTGCCTTTTATGAAACTGCAAACTGTTATCTAACATCTGTTTTGCAGGTTGGGAGGTGTGCGAACAACCCTGTTACTGATTTCTGATTGTCTTTGATCAGTAATTAATTTCATATCGTTTTCTTGAATTAAAAATCAAACCCTAGACTCATTTGAACCAGATTGGACCAAACTGGTTGGATCGAATCTGTGGTTCGATGGGGGTTGTTCTCAACCCTAATTTCCCACTTTTGGGTCAAGGGATTGATGTTTAATTGTGAGACTTAATTCGGCCCACACCTGTAAGGCTCAGTTTTAAGGAGTTAAAACTGCTAAAATTGCTAAAACCCATCAACTGTAGAAAAGCTATATGGGCCGAACTGCTTAATGCTATTCAGCCCATATACCTAGATAATATTGATCAGTAATATTATGGATAATTTTGGGCTTTATTAATGGGCTTTACAAATATTAATTGATTGGATCAATTCTATCCTTGCATGTGATGTATGG